TACAAATACATAAATAAAAATACACTTCAAAAAAGAAAAGTGCTTGAAATCTACAAAATAATAATAATAAATACACACAATAGGAGTTATAATGTTAATGGGCATCCAGTCAGTTAGCTAGTCAGTAGCACCTTAGCTTTAATATTAAAACGTTTCCTAGCTAGAAAAAACGTCAGCTAACTCCTACCTAACAACATAAACAGTGACCTACGATTAAATGCAGCAAAAATGAGGACTGGTAATGATAATAATGTGTTGGTATTGAGTGGTAGACACCAGTGGCAGCTGCTGGTCTTTCAAGGAGGGGAAGCTCATTTTCGGCCTACATCATAAAATGTGTCCGTTTATTTATACGTAAATTCTACCCTCTGGGGCTGCTGTGCGAGGCTAGTGTGACCGCCTGTGAGTGCTTTGGGACGGTGGAGGGGCTCACAGCAGCACCCGCTGCTCGCTGGGGACAGTAACTGCAGAGCGACAGAAGTCAGAGTCTCCAAACACGAGTACAGTCTCCAATAACACCAGAAAAAGATGCTAGATTTGTCGCTAGTCATTTTTAACAAAGACAAAGTCACTAAGAGGATTGGAAAAGTCTCCAGATCAACTCGGAACAACGGAATGGAACTTGAAAAATGCTCCGGTGCTGGTTTATATTTCAAGATCACTGATTCGCTCATTTCGCTGTCAATCAAAAAGGGATTCAGCCTCAGACAGATCATCCAATCATCATGCAGAAGCCCAGCGTCCAGGCCAGACCCCCAGAGACGCTGAGCGTCCGATGGGCGGGACAAAACCGAGCATTTATCCATTGACTGTCTAGTTTCGCTGCAGTGGAACAACCCACTCTATGCTTCCCCATTGAAGTCTTTGGACGCTGACCTTCCACTGTTTAATGCACTGTGACGCTATGGGAATGAATGAGAAGAAAGTTGCGTCAGTGACCTGTCATAAGTAGTTGATTCTGAACAAAAGTTGAACGCGTTCTAGCGCATATTTAGTCAATGAAATGTAAACACAACAGTACATATTTGACCACTTATTTTTTGACATTTTAGGGGAAGCTGAGCTTCCCTTGCAGTCTTAGAGCAATCGCCACTGGTCTGTACAGTTGGGCAGGAAGGTAAGAGACTGAACTTTGTAAATATGTTTCATGAAATAAAAATAAAGTTGTGAATTGATCCACTTTTTTTTTTTTTTTTTTTTTTTTTTGCTTTTTGTCATTACAGAGGAACCACTCTGAACATGAGCATGGCTCTGGTTCATCAGAGACCAGTGGTTCATCATGTGGTATGTGATCTTTCATTTAACCATGATATTTACATAACAGTGAAAGTTTGTGTGCTTAATATAAGAAAATGACAAGTGTTAGAAATAATCTACATGTCTGTCAGGTGGATGGAGCTCCAGTGGCCTTGCGAGAGTTTTTCATTCCACTGAACGTGTGCTGCTGGCCCCCCACGGTGGCGCGGGAGAGCGAGGGCCCGATCACAGCTGCTTGCAGCTTTAATTATTATTAGGGACCTCGGCTGAAGGGCAATAATGGAAAAGTAGGAGAAAAATAAAGACAATTTTACTGCTTATTATTTAGTGTGTGTTTGCTCTGCTGGGGAAGCAGGAGAAAATGTATGATTCAGCTGGATTTTAGTAAAAACTTTAATTTTTCACTTTTTTACTTTCAACATATTGTACTACAGTAACCAGAATTATAATTATAATATTATTACTTTCATTAATGTTGTTTAAAGCTATTAACATTATCGTCTGTCCTGCATCTCTCTCTCTCTCTCTCTGTCTCTCTCTCTCTCTGTCTCATTGTGTCATATGGATTACTGTTAATTTATTATGCTGATCTGTTCTGTACGTCATCTACTGCACATCTGTCGTCCTGGAAGAGGGATCCCTCCTCAGTTGCTCTTCATGAGGTTTCTACCGTTTTTTTCCCCTGTTAAAGGGAGTTTTTCCTTATCAGCTGCGAGGGTCCTAAGGACAGAGGGATGTTGTATGCTGTAAAGCCTTTTAGGCAAATTGTGATTTGTGATATTGGGCTTTATACATAAAATTGATTGATTGATTGATGTCGTCAGTAGTTTGGTTTTCAGAAGCCATCAAAGTTTTACTCCCAAGTCATGGGTTCATTGCCAAAAATGACCTTGCGTTCTACTGACACTGCTTGTTTTATCGACATTTCGACTCTTACGAATAGGCTAATTCACACTGTCTACGTGAGCTGGAGGCTGACAGTGAGAGCCCGAGGTCCCAAACAATGCTGCTTGCAGCTTTAATTTCTTAAGTCTTTGTCTTTGTTGTTTAGTTTTTGTTAACTATAATAACCTTGGTTGAAGCCTCACTAATTCTGTCATATTTGCTGCATACTCTTCTCCACTGCAGCTGTGTATTGTTACAGATTAAAGATAAAGCTTGATACATAATAGTGCCATTTTCCCTTTTCCTCTGCAGCCAGATTATCTTTAAACACAACATTCCACTGCTAAAAATTGGAGTTGCTGTGTTACTGTGGTCTACCAGTGGGCCCAGCATACCACACCTCATTGCTCAATCTCAGGAGCTGCGTTCCATTTGCTCCAAAATCAAATGCACAGTTTTTCTGGGGAGAAATAAACCATATCAAAGGGGAGAAAGAGACCATAAGAATGCCCTATTACTGTATATCGAACTGCTGGGTGTACAAAGCACAGGATTCTGATAGTACTGTGGGGCTGATGTAATGCATTCAGTGTGTTTATCTATGAGACATTTCTACATTTGATCACATGCAGCTGTCAAGGATAGCACAAGAACGTCTTAGATTTGTGTTCACAGTGGTAAAGACATGGAAGTTGCACAAGAATGATGTATTACCCACAAATAAATAAAAAACAATTTTGCTCTCAGTAGATTTACTCTGGGTCAAACAGCATCAGATACATTTTATATCTATATATTGTAGATCTATAATGATAAGCCTACACTTCCAAGTTAATATAAAAGCCACAGTTCAGTTTCCTTTTTAAAATCACATGATTAACTTTCTTTCACAGTCTAACTCCCAACTTGTCAAATATCGACCCTTTGTCAGTGGTCCTACATGTCAAAATATGTTCCAGGTACCCTTCCAGCATCAATTTTGGACACTCAGGGATGACATGTCCATTTACATGTTACATGCATTGTGTCTTTTCAAAAATCAACTTTTGATTTCACAGGAAGTGTACAGTAACAACTCATTAAATGCATATTGTCCCCTTTAAAATAAAGACCACAGGTAAAATGTTTAGTTTTTTGGTGTTTACTTCCTTAGGCTTAGGCTACAACAGAATGTGACCGCTATGGTTTGCCTCAAAATAAGTATATTTGTTACTGACGTAATGTAACATCATGTAACATACCTGACATACGTCATATGACATATGTCTCTAGTGTAGTATGCTACATGTACTAGCGCACTACATTGTAATTAAAACAACTTTCAGTTTCACACAATGCGCTTTTATCCCAGTTTTCATCTACTAGTTTTCATTCCCAGACTTTCATCTATTTGGGCATCTCTATCACTTAAGACAGTACACAGTAAAAAACACTGGGTTAAAAATTGACCCAGTGTGAGTAAAAATAGCATAGATGTCATAATGGTTTCACTCTGTGAAAATCTTAAGGGGTTAAAAAAATATTTTAAAGAATGTGGGGCGACAGTAGCTCAGTCCATGGGGACTTGTAGTGAACCAGTAGGTCATCAGATCAAGTCTCTGGACCAAACATGGAGCGTAGACTGGTCGCTGGAGAGGTGCCAGTTTGCGCCCTTGAGCAAGGCACTGAACTCACAACGACTTGGAGCGCCTGTCAAAGGCAGCCCCCTCACTCTGACATCTCTTCATTTTAAAGCAATGTATAGATCCCGTTTGTGCATGTGTGTGTGTATTTCGGGCCTGTGTTTATGACAACAGAGTGAAAAGAAATTGAATTTGGGGATTAATAAACTTCTCTTCTTCTAAAACCAACATGCAAGTGCCAAAAAAAACTTGAGGCTGGCTACAAGAGTGAGTCAATCCCCATAGGTTCCCATGTAAAAATGCCCAACTTTACAGCAGGTGTAAATGTGTACAAAAAGGTTTCGGTCTCTATAACTAATTTCCCTGTTCATGACAGCTGTACAAACCACCCAACAGAGGGGCTGTTTTGAAGTGGTAATCAAACACTAATGTAAATGTAACACTGGACACAGTGTTTTTAAGTGTGTAGGACACAGGAGGACATCAAGACAAGATGGAGGAAAGTCCATTGTGTTTTACCAACTTCCCAACAGTCCAAGCTTGAAAGTCCAAATAACACAGCCTGAATATAAAGAACAATCATCAATAACATCAGTTCCAGCCAAATGTATTTTTCTATACACATGGGATGACACATTGAAGTGTATTATGTTCTCACACCACTGTTGGCAATTCTTCTTTGCCTTCAAAAAATGTTACAAATCACTGCTGAAAAAGAAATACATTTTTAGGACCTGACAGTGCTATTGATAACATTTGGTTAGGCTTAGACACAAACATAACTTGGTTAGGGTTGGAGAAATATCATGGTTTGGGATGAAAGAAGTACTTGGTTAAAGGTAAAGGACCTTTAGGGTCATATCTTTTTGTTTTGTCTCTCGTACACAGCATAAAGGGACTACCACTGCATTTTGTTATGCAACACTAGGTTGTACAACGACAATCAATTTGAACTTGAATAGCTTAAATAATAATTACTTGGTCAGGGGACGACTATGGTCATGGTCACTGTGATCATAAGACTAGGTTCTGCAACATCAGCTTTGTTGAATTAGTGAGTTTTGGAGAAATTCAGCATGTTTCTATTCACAGATGTAGAAGAGGCCTGAAGTCCACAGCCTGGCTGCTTCTTAGAATCTGTTCTAAGTTATTTGGCACCATAATGGCCTGTCATGTACTACACAGAGGCTCAGGCACTAACATATGGCATTCTGTGACTAATGCTGTGTCAAAGTTACACAGCCTTTTTGGATGCTCAGACCTCATTGACAAACTAATCCATCACTAGAATTGAGTGTTTCACCCCGTCAGAGATGAATGCGATCAGGGCAACAGGAAGTTACTGAGACTGTGAGACTTGTCCAAAGGTTATTATATGTGGGGAACAGATCGCATACAAATCCTAAGCTCTGGAACCACATTATACTGTACCTTTCCTGGCATGAGATTGAATCCAGCTCAGGTTGTCTCTGCTCTCTATCCAGTTTTACTGCATCTTTATCTGCTGCCTTAATGAAGACTGAGAGAGCTGTGGGACTGGATGACTCCCACTGTGACTTCATTTAATTTGACTTCTGCCATAAAGCTTATACAACATGTAATGTGTAGATTTCAGTTCACAGGAATCAATATAACATTATGTAACATTACATGTTAAAAGGGAACTACAGTGATTTTGTTTTGTCCTTCCCTAAAGTTGTGGAATGTATGAAAAAAGAATTTAAAGAGGTCCACATATACTGACTTTTAATCCCTAGTATGGGCCAATAGTCAAAAGCACTGGATCCTACACTTCCCATAATGCATCTCAATAGCATCTCTGCATTACATCCTCCATAAATGACAAATGGCTGCATCCACTCTGCATGCCCAGTTTGCAATGCAGACTGTTCTCTGCAGTCTTCAGGCCCAAAGATCAATAACCCTGATGGCATCACTATGACGTCAATGGGGGTTATTTTCTTAGAGCCACAAAGGACATAAACAACTGTTCTCACACACCGTGTCCTAACTGGATGCCGCGCGAGTGAGCATCAGGGACTAAATCAGTTTGCTTGCACTGTTTTCTACTGGACTGTCCTAGATGCCCTCGAGCAATATAGCATTGAACAAAACCTTTGTTGGATGCCCAGTTTCTATTTGATTCCTGTCACTGGTGCTGAAAGTGCTGCAATGGACAAGGAATGGCTGATTCACAAGGTTGAAATTAGGAGTTATCTATATGATACCTCCTCATTTCACTATAAGCCTAAACAAGTTGGTGCCTAGTTAGAGGGAGATCAGCAGGGAGATGACCATTTCTACTAAGTATTGTGTGGGATGCTCAGCAGAGCTTACTAGCAAGCTAGCTTATTTTACAAAGTGTATGATATATAGTATGGTAGCTACAACAATGAAACCTAGAAGTCACCTGCAATAGTATCGTTGCAAATATGTATAATAAGGAAATGTACTCCACCATCTTATCAGTGGTTACTCTGAGACCACAGCTGCTGAATAAGTGTTTTGTTTACATGTCATGACGGCATTCCATATTTAACAGATCCAGTATATTTAACGTTCACTTGCTGTCAGGACATGGTGAGTAGAATGTGACAACCTTCATAGTGTAAAAGCCATAGACTTTAAATGCAATAAATGCCCAAAGTACTGTACATCATTCTTTCATACATGTATCTTGCCTGATCTATTATGATAAGGTGACTTGTTTCAAACACTTTAAAAGGGAAGTTCAATGCTGGTGATTAGATTAGATTTTATATTATTTTATTTATTTTGAACATGTTAAAATAACAAATAAAATATATTGGCAACAAACAAAAAACAACAAAAAACAACAACAGCTAACTTTCAGTAAGCCACACAAATAATAACCTTTCAATAGCTATGTTTCCATCCAAAAGTGATTCAAATCATTGGGAAATGTGC